CCCCCCCCCCCCCCCCCCCCCCGCCCCCCCCCCCCCCCCCCCCGGGCTGGAGAGCTGGTGGTCAGATGTGAACATTTTACTCCCTCGGTTACTGTGATCACAGGTGGAAACCTCTAAACCTAAGTCAGGCGAGGTTAGACACTGTCCCCGCCCCCACCAAACAAATCGGAGAGAGAAGTAGTGGCATATTCGGCTACACCCCGGGCAGGGACGGAGAAAGGCGGGTGACATAAAGGGGCTGAGGTGTGCCTCAGGGGGCCCGAGAATTCCAGACCCTGCTTTCCCCCGGCAGAACGTCATCGCGGAGCATGAGATCCGGAACATTTCCTGTGCGGCCCAGGACCCAGAGGACCTCTGTACCTTTGCCTACATCACCAAGGACCTGCAGACCAGCCACCACTATTGCCATGTTTTCAGCACAGTGGATGTGGTGGGTGGAGTCCCAGCCCTGGGCACGGCCGGAGGGGGCCTGCATCCAGATGGCCTCAGTGCAGTGCTGTCCTGGTGCATGGGTGACACTTAGCAAACGTTTTGGTTCCGAATGAGGCCCCGGGAGCCATCCAGTCCAGTCCCTTTTATACAGTGAGGAGACTGAAGCACACAGAATGAGAGGCGCATCCAGGGTTCCAGTGACCAGGCTTTTCCCACTTCTCCCCAGGTGTTTCTTAGGTCAGCCAAGGTCTCCCCCAGGCTCTTTGTCAACCCACCACCCTATCCTCTATCAGCAGTCTCCCTGAAACGTCCTCTGTCTCCCTCTTGGGGGCAGCAGTGCCCTCCTGACATGGCCGTAGGCTTCCTTCTCCCAGATTCATGCCCAGGCTGGGCTCTGTCTGGTGCCCAGGGACAGCGGTGCACCAGGGACTCCCTCTGCCCGGAGACAAGGCCCCCGGCCCTCTCCTCATCCCCCGTCTTCTGTCCAGATCCCTGCCGTCCTTGGGGAGAGCAGCTGGTTCGCAAGTCTCTGTGGCTTCTGGAACATAGACGGCTAGGCATCCTCAGCCCCAGGACCTCAGTGCTTGCTCCCGGCCCGGCATGAGACTCGGGGCTCTGCCGCTTGCTGGCTGTGCCGTCTTAGAAGTTCCCTCTCCCCGGCTCCTCATCCCAAAAGGGGCTATAATGTGACCGGCTTCATGGGGTTGTCTTGAAGGTTACGCGAGCTCATCTACCCCATACTCGTAGTTCCTGGCACTTCCCCTGTAGCTCACATTTTCCACATCCAGTCATTTCTGCCGTAACACAACGTACGTGCTTCTAACAATCAACATGCTACATAAAGTCACACCATAAACACCAGGGAGGATCGAACTGGGGACACAACACTCAGAAACTTTATCAGTGACACACTAGAAAAGATAGGAACCTAATAAAAACACCGGCACCGCTTTGTTCATATTAAGCGGGTTAAGGCATACATAGGTGTCACAGCAGGACCCTACCTTGAGAAGGACCTGAAGTTGGCCGCCCCCGGCGGCCCATTTGCCAGGGGAAAAGAAGGCAGAGAGCTGGAAAGAGAGACACCCGGATGGAAGGACAGGGTGCAAGGAGGGTGCGGGGCGGCACAGCCAGGTGGTGAGGTGGCAGGCCCCGGGGTCTCCGGGGAAAGCTGAGACACCGGGTGGAGACGGCGCGGCTGGGCCTGACTGGCGGGCCAGCTGGGTGCGGGCTTGGTCCCCTAGTGTTTACAAAGTCCTGCTTGAGGAAACAAGACGTGTGTGATGCTCAGATTGTTCCCCAGCGTTATCGGTCACTTTGGGACAGATTTTTGTTTTCAAGCCCAATGTTCTGAATTGGCCGAACCCTAACCTGCTCAGGGCTGTGAGGCCGGGGCAGGGGTTCGAGCAAACGGATGAGGTGGCTCTTCAGTCTCGTGTGCTAAAGTCATGCTCCGTCTCCTCCCAGAATCTGACCTACGAGATCATCCTGACGCTGGGGCAGGCGTTCGAAGTGGCCTACCAGCTGGCCCTGCAGGCCCAAAAGTCCAGGCCGATGGGGGCCTCCGCTGCCGAGACGGTTGAAACAAAGTCTTCCAAACCGGTGCCTAAGCCTCGGGTCGGCGTGAGGAAGTCAGCAGTACGTGGGCCGTGGCCGCCAAGAACCCCCCCTCCCCGGGATTCGAGGGCTTGGGTGGAGGGGGCTCCAGGAGGGTCTTCTCGTGCTGCAGCCGGCCGGCCAGCCCCTTGGGGAAGCACCGTTATTTCCTCTCACGGGAGGTGGACAGCTGTCCCCCCCCCCCCCACGGGCTTCTGTCCCCTCCCTTGCCAGGCACCACCAGGGCCCAGCCGGTGGCCGGCGTGGGGCTGCAGAGAGCGTGGCCCGCAGCGAGCCCCCAGTAACGTCACCCTGTGTCTGTGTCTGCTTTGCTCTGCGCCCCAGGTGCCGCTGCCCCCCGATAGTCGCTGTTGTTACTGTCACACCTGCACCACCCATCGTCCTTCTTACCTACCGCTGCCGTCTGTTAGTCCTGGAGTCAAGGTCTTTACAGCTCCTGCTGTCTGTGTGTCAGTCTCCCCGAAGTGACCGTGAGCTCTCTCAGACACTAGTGGCCTCCCCCTCTCTGCCTGCGTGACATTCTTTCCTGAGCTCCCCCTCCCTCCCCGCCATCCCTGTCTGTGCTTTAGCTGTTTCTCTGTGTGTCCTCTCTCCAGAGGGGCGCTCCAATGGGGCGCCCATTGTGGTCTTGCCCAGGGTGCGCTCTCTGGTCCCACCTGAGGGGCCTGAGGCTTGGAATTTCCCAGCCCCTCGCCCCCCTTCCTGTCAGCCTCAACAGATTTGGGGCTTCGAGCCTCACGCTCAGGTCAGGCAAGGCTCCTTTACCTGAGCAGCTCTGAGAAAGCCATGGGAGAAGTTGTCCCTGAAGAGGCCTGGAGGTGGCCCTCCCATGATGCTCCAGGGAGGGTGCCGCTTCTGCCACCCTAGCCCCAGGGAGCTTGCTCTTCGAGGAGAACAGGGGCTGCCCCTCGTGTCCCTCATGCTGGCACGACGCCAGCGCGGCCCGGGCGGGTAGGAAGGACAGCTGGGCCCTGTTGCCCCCCGGCCAGGTACAGCGCGCCCTCTCTGACCCCTCGCCTTTCTTTCTTGGCAGCTGGAACCACCCGACACGGACCCAGATGCCCAGTCCCATGCCAGTGTCTCCTGGGTTGTGGACCCTAAACCAGACTCTAAGCGGAGCCTCAGCACCAAGTATGAGACCACTATCTTCTAACCGCCCACCCCCTGTCTCCACTAGTCTCACTGTGCCTTGCCATCCGACCTCTGCTCTTCTCAGCTCTCCTTCCGGCTGCCCACCCCCGGTGGGCCCTGCTCTCCTCCCGGGCGGCAGCTCTAGACCCTGCACACTCACAGCTCGTACCCAACACCACCGGACACTGTGAAGTCCCCCCTTGGGCGAGGACAGCTTGGTGGGGGAGGGGGTGAGTTGCCTTTGAGGTGGGCACCAGGAGGGCTCAGGGGGCCCTGTGGCACCCAGGAAGCCTCAGCGGGCAGGCACTGTGAATCCTGAGGGGCGGGCGGTCTTCGAGCAGAGTCCAGACAGCACCCTCTGACTAGGCCGGGCGCTCCGTCCGCCCTCCTCTCCTGTCTTCCGTGCTGAACCACAGCCGGGAGCCGCGGCCGGGAGCGAACTGTCCTTTTGCACCTTTCCTGACACAACCAACCACTGTGACCACCTGGTGCCAGAATCCCCTCGCACTCCGCTCACGGCTGGCCTGCGGCCCTGTCCCTCTCTCCTCTGCCGTAAGGTGCTGGTCTCCCTCCAGTGAGAGCCTGAGCTCGGCGATGTGTCTTGACTATTGTCAGACTGCGTTCTGTGAGGGCCAAGGTCCTCGGGCACAGGCCTGACTCCACAGCATGGAGCTCTGAGCATCTGAACACCCGCGGGCCGGCTTCCCTCGGCAGGTCTCTGGGTCCCGATGAGTCTTCCGCTCCGAGGAACGGGACGGCATATATGTGGTCGGCCCCTCGTGTCTTCACCAGTGAGTCACAAGGCCCGCCCTGGAGTCTAGCTCACCGAGGAGGAAGGCCTTTCTGTAGGACCCGGCAAGAGGGAGGCCTGTGCCCTGCACACACGGTGCACCTTCTTCCCTCACAGAACAGAGCCGCTCAAGGACAGGGGCCTGGACCGAGCCACTCCCATTGTCATCCAGGGGCTGACACTTCTCCACAGTGTGGGGGGTCAGAGCTAGTCAGCCGTCACCTGGTCCTTCCCCGTTCGGCCACCCGCAGCCTCTCGACTCCTCCGAGGGGGTAGGCTGTGCGGTCTGTTCAGCAGCAGCGGCTGGGATCCTGGAGCCGAGGCTTTGAAGAAGCCCCGCCGTGTCCGGTGAGGGCAGATCAGCTCAGATGGCAGGAGACGGGAAGGCAGCAGTTCCGGGAGGAAGCAGTGCAAACGTAGGATAGTCCGGTAGAGGAGCCAGGAGGCGACAGCGATTATTTTAGAGCTGAAGCCCCAGTCGATAAACCGGGGTGGGTGCCTGTGCCGGCCTGCCTGTGCTTGTGTGCCTTCCAGAGCAGACGTGCTGAGCCGGAGGCGGCCGTGGGCCACGGGCGCTCGGAACAGCCACGAGGGCGCTCAGGGGAGGCTGTGAGGGACCTTCTGCTCTGCTTCCATGTTTCCTTTCAGTTTCCTCCACCTTGTGCAGGCCCCTTTGGTTAACCCTCTCCTCCCCCCGTTGTGTTTGCTTCTGCCAAGCTGAGCCACCGAAGGAGCCAACTGTGCCGCGGAAACACAGACGTGGGGAGCACAGGCTCCCGCCGCCGCCACCGCCGTGTCACCTGCGCTTTGAGGACCCAGGCCCAGCCTCTGCCTGTAGCAGCTCCTCGGGGCTGCTTGGCCTGGACCTGCCACCACCAGGTCTCACAGAGCGAGCTGCACTCCAGGCCTCGAGCAGATGAGACTGGAACTCCAGAGAGTCAAGAAGTGACTTGTCCAGAGGATGTTTTTTAATAGAAAAAAATTTTCTATAAAATGAATTTTTAAGACTTGGCTCAAACCTCTAGGTTAAACTGCCAATCTTTAGAGAAATGGCCATCAGATCAGAGGACAGGGGACCTGAGATTGGCTAAAAGGCCAGTCTGTCCAGGCTTCTGTCCTCGGGACGGGACCTTGGTGTGGTCCGGTAGGGTGAAGAGAAGGCAGTGGCCCATGGGTGAATTGAAAGCAGGCACAAGTGGGCAAAATTGAGTAGGTCTGTTAGAGTCCACTTTTCAAACCCAGCCAAGCAGGTTGCCATTCCTTATGAACTGCACGACTTCTTGTCCCGTCTAGAGCCGGACACAGCCTCAGCAGTGAAAACACAGCCTTAGGGGTACCCGGCAAAAGGAAAGACTTCCAGTCCGTTTCTGGGGTTCCAAATGTGAAGGCCCAGGGGCCAGACGGAGCTGAGCGAGCAGCCCCTGGTGCCACGAAGTCTGAGCCAGCGCCCGGAGCTCTGGGCCGCTCCCCAGCCTCTGACCTGGCGGTGGTCAGAGTGCCGGCCCCCACGCTCTCTGGCGACCTCAGACTGCCTGAGTTCAGTTGGAGAGAAGCAGCAGCTTTGTTTTGGGCATTAATGGGTAGGTTAGCTAAGACTGCTACCTGCCAATTTGTGATTTGTCTAATCGGGTCTGTGTGATTAGGACTCACTTTGATTCTCTGAATTATTGGTTCAACTGTTGTATTTCAGCTGCTGGATTCATCCCTGGCTCTAAGTGTGGAGAAGGCTATATTTAGCCTTCTTGGGTGACAGTCAACTTGATTCTCCCCCAGCGTGGCCTTCAGGGCAGGCTGGGGTCCTGGTGCAGCACTGCCACTTAAGCCCTCCTGCTGGCTTGCTTTGCTTTTTAATTTGGAATCTCGCTCTGTGCTCAAGTGGCGATGGGAATGGGGAGAGGGGTGGGGGGGGGACCGAGCGGTTCCTGTGAGGCTGAGGCAGGGCCAGGTCAGCTGCTTGCCCAGTACCTTCCAGAGTAGGGAGCGGAGAGGCGGCTTTTCTCCCGCCGGTGATTCAGCAGACCTCACGCTCTGCTGGCGCGGTGCAGGCCGCTCCCGGGACCAACATTCCAGGTTCGGTGGCACTTCTTTCCCAGTGAAGGTGGTGAATTGAAATTCTCTGGTGGTTCTGTGCAGGGAGAGTGCTCTTGGGCACACTCACAACCCCTGCGGTTGGCCAGAAACGGAAAGCCTGGCCCCGTCCTCCTGCTGACTTGCTCTCTGCCTGCCACCGCAGGCCCCGCCAGTCCCCTCCTCTCTGGAGCAGAGGCGGGTAACACCCTACTTTCCGGTACTAAACAAGGACCTCGACACCCGGACGCTTGGCTTCACTTCCCACTTCTTCCGAGGCCCGTGAGCTTCCCATCGGCGGCCGCCGTGCGATGTCCCTCCCGCCCCTGCCGGCCTCGAGCCTCGGAGGAAACCCGAGGGCCGTGCTAGTGCCGGCACCCTCGCCTCCACCCGCGGACGGCCTGGCCTCCCCCAGTGCGCCTCCCGTGCGGGAGGCCCCAATAGAAAACTGTGTAGACACTACGATGAGCTGCTCAAGCTGTCTTTTTGTTTTTAAATCCTCTGTAGGTGTTTCCTCCCCTTGAAGCTGCTATATCCTTATTTATTCAGGGTGTTGTCATGTTGGAAAGCCTTGGCTAGTCTGCTCCGGCGCTGGGTTTTGTTCTGAGATCGGTTTCTTTCTGAATAGTCAAGAAGGGTAGGGACTGGATCTTTCTTTCCTTCTTACTTTTCCTGTGGGGCAGGTACTCTTCCTTCCCTAGAAAGGGATAGTGTAACTTTAAGGACAGGCTTCAAGCGGAAAAGCCCCTGCTTCTGCACTTCTCTGAGTCTCGCTGCGTTTTCTGAGCTGTGCAGGAGCCCTTTCAGGCAGGACTGGAAACGGAGTCAGTACCTGGCACCGGCCTCGGGTTCTCTGCTTGCTTCTTTCCCTCTCGCCGCCAGCTGGCTGCTCTGAGCAGTAGGACCCCCTGACAGGCTCTGCATTTGCAAATGCTCCACATCCCTCTCTGGTCTCTAGCACCGGATTCTAGAGGGTGTCCCTGAGAAGCTTCTGGCTGAGCAGGCAGCAAACATAGTTGCAGTCGTTACATTAGAAAGCTAGTCTGACCTCGGTCTGTTTCTGAAATGCCCAGACCTGCAGAATGACTGTCAGATGCAGTTCACAAAAGTGTTGTTGCTAATGGTGTGGCAATGGGACTGAATTGTAATAAAAATGTTATTTAATCTTTGTCTCTGTATTTTGATACTTGAATGAATTCCCCTTTTATTTTACTGTACATATAATTGTTAATCTGATTTTGTCCGAATTACGAACATCTTGTGGTACCAAACATAACCGATCTGTGCAACAACATAGACTGACCTCACTACATGAGAGAGAGTGTAAATATCCCTGGGCTTCCAGCTTTGGTTTTGTTATTTTCATAACTGTACAACTTAGAACAGACTGAATTAATAAAGGAGAAGCAACATGAAACCAGCCTTACTTTTGGGGAGTTTTTGAACTGGAAAGCTTCTTGATTGTTTGTTTTCTGGCAGGGCAGCACAGGCCGTCCGCTGGCTCTGGCGGGGGTGGGGGGGGAATCAGGCATCCCACCGGTGTGTGGGGTGTGGGTGCGGGGATTCCGCTCCGGCTAGCGTGCCTCAGCGGGAGGCTGCCAAGGATCACCCGTCGTAGTTGGCCCTGTTGAGCTGCCAGGCCTCGGTGACTCACCTTCCCTCCTTAGAACAGCTTCTCTGAAGCAGGGGCCGCATTCTGGTTATGGCCACAGCTCCTGCGTCCTTGTCTGGGCCTGTCAACCCACAAGCGTTTATTGAATGTCTGTACAGGACCGTGTTGGAGGATCCCGAGCCCTGGACCAGACGTGTCTCCCTCAAGGAACTTAGTTTTAGACAAAAACTAGCTACCGGCCCGAGCCACACTGGATGGTCCCTTGAGCGTCCGAAAGGAGGACTGCTTTCCTTTCGGAGCTGGGGGCAGGGGGATGGGGACAGGGAAGGAGGGGCCAGCACCTGGGTTGGTATTTAAAGGGGAGGGTTTAGAAAGGCACACACTGCACTCATAACCTCTTCGCTGACAGCATCTATATTCCAGACCCCGCTAGCAGCTTTCTAGGCACCCATCTCGTTAGCCCTCAAGCCTTTCTGAAGCAACCGTGGCTCAGAAAGATGACAGTACTTCCCAGGGCCAGCTGGAGAGGACCTCAGGACCATCCAGTCCAGTAGCTTCAGGCGTCCTCAGAGCCCCTGGTCCCACGCCTGCTTGCACCCAAGCCGCCTAGCAAAGAGTTTCTGTGAAATACTCCATTTGTCAAAAGGCTTTAAAAGAGACAATCACAGGGATGCCGGAGTGGATCAGTCGGTTAAGCATCCGACTTCGGCTCAGGTCATGAACTCACGCTTTGTGAGTTTGAGCCCAGAGTGGGGCTTTGTACTGACAGCTCAGGGCCTGGAGCCTGCTTCAGATTCTGTCTCTCCCTCTCTCTGTCCCTCCCCGACTCGCACACGCTCTCTCAAGAATAAACAAACGTGAAATAAATAAAAAATTAAATAGACAATCGCTGATTTAATCCAACACCCAATTGTATTTATGAAGCAAACAAGACCCCAGAACAGGGAAATGCTTTTCCTAGCTAGCCAGCTAACAGAGGAGGGACCAAATCCCAGCTTCTTCCAATTACAGCTTTTTAGGCCAGATCACATTGACTTTGGGAAGCAGACTGAGGTCCAGTTGTGGAGACCCTCACTTACCAGCTAGGAGGTTCATCCTCACACCCCTGTGCTCTGTGGCTCTGGCACTCTTTCCTAGGCAGAAAAAAACCTTACAGCCAGGAGAGAAAGGCCATAATTAGTATCACTGTTGCTCTGGAACAGGGTGTCGGGACATAGTGCCACTGTCATAATCCCTTTTGGCATCACTTGGAAGCCTTACGTATGGGACTCTTGGGCTGCATGACCCCAGCGCCGCAGCGCCGATCATGCCTCGGTAGCCGGATGGGCGGGGAGACATTCCTGTCGGGCACCTGAGCCTGCCATTCTGAGCCACAGGCAGGGCTGCGGCCTGGCCAAATGAGGAGGGAAAGACTAGGAGGAGGAGCCGGTTGGGGCAGCTTCACAAATGGAAGGATGGAACACACTCCAGGAGTGAATCTGCTGCCCCATCCTGCCTGGCCATCCCCGTCCCCATCCCCACGACTCCCTCGAGGACGCGCTCTGGGGGCAGGGAGCTGTCAGGAGTCCAGCATCGCTGTCTGCTGCTGAACGAGGTAGACCCTCTTCGTGCACTCCCTTCTCCCCCATGACACTTTCCGGCATCCTCACCAGCCACCCCCCACCCCCACCCCCACCCCCACCCTGGATTCTCTGCGGTCAGGAACCCAGGCAGCTGGCGCGTTACTCCTGTGGCCAAGGTGGCTAACCCTTCAGGCAGTGGGCAGGCTCCTGGGGAGGCAGAGCTTGGCAAGCTGGAGCCCTTTCCAGAGCAGCTCAAAATGCCCTCTCCGCCCTGGCCACCTCTGGCTTCCTACAACTACAGGGTACCAGGGCCCACCTGCCTCCCAGCACACAGGGACAAGCACACCTTTCCGGATGTCCTGCAACTCAAACTGTGTGGCTCACACAGCACTGCTTGTCACCAGCTGACACCCATGAAGCACAGAGTTTACAGTGGCCATTGCCGCTACAACTCTGTGACTGCTTCCTTCAGGATTCCGCTATCAGGAACACAGTTTTAAACAAATTTTTATCAAATAAAAGAATTTCCCCAACACCACAAAATATTCATTACCCAGTAATGGGCCTGGGACAACTGGGTAACCACGGGGGTGGCGGCGACAGCACAGGGAAATTCCGATTCCTACTCACACCAAAATAAATTCCAGATGGCTCACATATTTAAACGTAGAAAAAATAAATTCCAACAAAACTAGAAGAAAATGGGGAGACTTTTATTTTCATAATCTTGGTTTGAGAAAGCTCTTCCCAAGCATGCTACAAAACTCTGAATCCATTTTTTAAAAGATTAATATATTCAACTACATAAAAGTCAAACATTCCTGCAAAGCCAAATGCACCATTTAAAAAAAAAAAAAAGCAACTGAAAATAATGTTTGCATCACACATAACAAAGGACAACACTTAACAGCTACCAAAATAAACTGGAACTTCTGCTTCCAGGAAGATCAAGTAGACCTACTTTTCCCTATTCTTGCTAAGCGCAAATAAAACCCCTGGCAGAAACAGCACGGGCACAGACAAAGCCCAGACCAAAGTCTGCTCTCTGTAGCCAAAGGACCAGAACGGAGGCAGCCTGGCAAGACAGAAAACTGGTAAGACACGGCTTTGCTCCATTCTGCCACTGCAGAAAAACAGCAGCGGTGAGCAAAGGCCAAGGGGACTTAGACCTCCCCCCTCACCAGGCAAACACGGTGCCCCCCAACTCCCATTGGGGTGGTATCGAAGGAGACCTAGTGGACACTCACCAATGCCTGGCAGTAACGAAGCTGCTCCCGAAAAATAAAATAACCAAAATCAAAATCCCCATGGATGGACTCAACAGCAGGATAGATGGGAAAGAGGCAGGATCCAGACTGGAAGGAAAACGAATAGAGTCTCAGGGACCTAGGAACCCTAACGTAAGATCAAACATTTGTGTCAGCAGAGTCCCAGAAGGAGAGGGGAAAGGGTTTGAAAAGTATTCGAGGAAATAATGGCTGAAAACCTCCCAAATTTGGCAAGAGACATAAACCCACAGATTCAAGAAGCTGAGCGTACCCCAAACCAGATGAACCAAAAGAAATCCATCACATATCATATCCAAGGTACATCATAATTAAATTTCTGAAAATGAAAGACAAAAATTTCTGACAGCAGCAAGAGATGAACCTTGCCTACAGGGGACACATAATGTGAATGATGGTGGACTTCTCAGTAGAGCAGTGGAGACCAGAAGGAAGTAACATATTTTTCAGGTGCTGTAAGAAAAAAAGAGCCAGGTCCCATAGCCTGCAAAAATCCCCTCTAGGGATGAAGAGAAGTCAAGACATCCTCAGATGAAGGAAAAGAAGGGACTCAGCTGCAGACCTATCCTCAAAGAGTGATAAAATGGTTGTCTAAACAGAGGGGAGATAATATAAGAAGGAGCCTTGGAACACCAGAAAGGATGAACAAACATTGAACAAAAATATGGGTAAACTCCATAGACTTTCCTTCTCCCCTTCAGCTTTCTAATGTGTTTGATAGTTGAGGCAAAAATCATAACACAGTCTAATGTGTTTCTAAATATTTGTAAAGGGAATGTTTGAAACAATTATCTTTTTCTTTTTAAGGGGAAGGGGCAGAGGGAATGGGGGGGGGGTGGAGAGAGAGAGAGAATGAGAGAGACAGGGAGAGAGAGGGAGGGAGAGAGAGAGGGAGGGAGAGAGGGAGGGAGAGAGGATCTTAAGCAGGCTCCATGCCCAGTGCAGAGCCTGATGCAGGGCTCAGTCCCACGACCCTGAGATCATGACAAGCCAAAATCGAGTCATCTGCTCAACCAACTGAGCCACCCAGGTGCTCCAAAACAATTATCATTTAAATGGGGAGGGTAAATAGATGAAAATGGAGGTAAGGTTTCTATTCTTTGTTCGAACTGGTAGATGACATCACCAGTAGACTGGCAAGTTATGCATACATATAATTCCTAGGGAAGACACTAAAAAAGTTATGCAAAGAGATAAACTCAAAAACACTATGGATAAAATCAAAATGGAGTGTAACATTTTTTTTCAAGTAACTCAAAGGGAGACAGAAAAAAGAAGATGAAAACAGAATAACTAGAAAACAAAATATGGCACACTTAAGCACTAACATGTCATAATTACACTAAATTAAATGGTCTAAAAACACCAACTAAAAGAGATTGGCAGAGCAGATTAAAAACATGAACTATACGCTGTCAAGGAAACACACCCCAAATAATATAAACAGACTGAGCGCAAAAGGATAGGAAAAGATATACAGTGTAAACATCAATCAAAGGAAAGCAGGAGTGGCTACATTAGTATCTCATAAAGTAGACTTCAGAGCAAAGACAATTACAAGAAAGAGGGGGCATTATATAATAATAAAGGGTCAGTGCACCAAAAAGACACACCAATCAATGTGTATATGCCAAACAGCAGAATTGCAAAATATGTGCAGCAAAAACTGACTGAATTGAAAAGGGAAAGAGACAAATCCACAAATGCTATGAAGTGTGTCCCTCCCAAATTCCTATGTTGAAGCCCTAACACCCCAGTGTGACTGTATTTGGAGACAGGGCTTTTAGGAGGTGATTAAAGTTAAATGAGCTTATAAGGCTGAGGTCCTAAATCAATTGGATTGCTAGCCTTATAAGCAGAGGGAGGGAAGGAGAGATCTCTCCAGACACAGGTGCAGAGGAAAGGCCATGTGAGGTATACATAGCAAGAAGGCAGCCATCTATAAGCCAGAAAGAGAGTCCT